TTTTAGTTATGAAATTAATTCGCAGTTTTGCCGAAATTATCCGAAGACCCTAATTTGGAAACACTTTGTAGATCAACTTGGGACGAAAATTTAATAAAGAAAATTAAAATCAAATACAATAATAATATAAAAAGATTCTAGAAATCTAGGATTTTTTAAGGACTTATTTTCCCTGATTTCGTAATATTAATGATTTTACTTTTCTTGGCTGTGTTGTGGCTTTTCTTAAGAACAAGATCGTGATTTATTCTTTTCGTATGAATAATATAATTTAACTTGTTTTGGAAATATGATAAAGAGACTTTGGTAACGAAAGCGATTTTTGTGTCAATGTGTTATGATACAAAGTGTTTATGAAACGTAATATTGTTAATATTGTTTATCTTCAAACTAATTCTTACAAACCAAATATTCAAAGATCCGGATTAGCAAATAAAATGTGCAATTTCACGGTTTACTTTTACAAACATTCGGTCAAAATCATTTAATTATTTTTTCGTGGGCTTGGTTAAATTTCATATGTGATAAACTCGTTTAACTTTTTCCAAAGAAAGATTGAATGAGATTTAATGAGATAATAAAGTCATTAAGTTAAGAAAAAGCGTATGCGCTCAACGATTTTAGCGTCATCAAGAAGCCACATGTAGAAAAATGAGATTTCAAATAGTACAAATCTTAATTGTACATATGATATTTGCTGTGCGTCTCAAAAAAACCAGCTGACAAAACAATTACATAACGCAAATAAATAAAAATAGATACTTTTAATTGAATATTATGACAAATTTACATTCTTTTCATATTAGATTGACACAATCCAAAATTTTCCCAACCCAATTCCAAATCGCATGCGACCCCATTGTCTTCATGATCTGCCATATACTTGTATTCTCAATGTGGATTTGGGATTGCCAGTCAAAGTTTATTTCATTTAACATGTTACAAAATAAATTTATCGTTGTTCGTTACTGTAACTTAAAAAAAAAGGTTTCATACTAACATAAATTATGCTTAGTTTGTAAAGTGGTTTTTTTTTATCTTTTTTGTAGGATCTAAAAAAAATTCGTCAATTCAAAACCTCGGGATATGCCGGGCAAATTCATTGTTCCTATTCAGTTGAGGTGCTGGAGGTTGAGCTCTCTTGGACATTGTGACCATCGATACTATCAATAGAATCTAAAAATAAGCATTATTACACAGTATTGAAATTGCGCGATTAAGTAAATAGTTTTTTAATAGCTTGGGGTTTTATAAAATTAGTATTATTTAGGAGGCTTATTTCAAGTTTCATTTTTGCATAGTGTATAAAAAAAATTTTTGAATTATTATATCTACATTTCTCATTTTCGTATATTATTTAAATGAAAAATTACTGTATTCGTTTAAGGGTTGGTGGCAATGCTTCTATTTTGACGGAAAAATGCTGTGCTGTCGTGTATGTAAATTTATGTACGTGAACCCCCCCTAATGTGTGCCAAGTGAGATTATGATATTTGCGAATGAAATTTTAGTTATGTTTCAGATATAAATATTAATTGTTATTGTTTTGTTGAACTTGTTTCTCCTTTGCTCTTTTTCGTTTTTCTTAATTGTTGTTTACAAGTGTTTGTTGATGAATCGACCATTTATTGAATGAAAGTTTTATTTATAAAGAGAACAAGAGACACAAAACGAAAAGCAAAGAGATCACGAAAAAACAATTAAAAAAAATCAACCAAATTAAATTAAATTTAATCACAAAAATAATCACAAAATACGAATCAAATAGAAAATAACAAAAAAAATGAACTCGCTACGATATCAAACCTTCTTTGGCCTATTCCTGTTATCAATATTACTGGTATTGGTGGTATTGACGACACCCAGTACTAGTTTAGAACTAGAAAAACGAAGTTTCCAATTTAAATATACGAAGAGAGACAACAATTCTACTAGTGGCAATTCTAATAGTGGCAATTCTAATACTGGCAATTCTAATAGTGGCAATTCTAATAGTGGCAGTCCCACTAGCCCTAGTGGTAGTTCCTCTAGTGGCAATTCTAATAGTGGCAATTCTAACAATGGTGGTTCTGGTGGTGGAAACACTAATGGTGGCAATACGGCGAGTCCGACAGGAACATCAAGGTGAGTTTTTTTTTGATTCACGCATATGCGACACGTGTATATGATGTGAGCGAGCATATGATTGATTAATTAATAGATTCATTGATCGATTATTGAGTTAGTTAAATTAGAAATCATTTTTTCTCTTAATATTTTCCATAATTTTTTTTTAATTTCGAATCGTCATCATCTATTAAATCGCTAACATCATTAATCCAATCATCGCTACTCTAAATTACTAAATTTGTCCTTCCATCATCCTCATCATCCTCCATCTCAAATCATTTTTCACACCTTATCCTCTCGGTCCCTCCCATCCAAGTGAGTTCCATTATCTTTTCTAGTCTGTTGCTGCTTATCTTGATGCTGATTAATCATCTCGCAAACACTCACTGCACGTTGTTATTCCCTCACACTTGTAAAATCACGCGCATTCATTATCTGACTTTCTCCATCTTCTTTTCTTTTTATTATTCATGCTTCCCGTCTCTCCTGCACGTATCATAAATAAACGCCCACTAAAATGATTCCCTCAATAAATTTACCATTACAATCCTCTTTTCAAATCAATCAATCTAATCAACCTATTAATCAATCAATCAATCAATCAATCAATAAATCGCTCATTAAAAAATGAATAACGTGAGTAAATAACAAAATTTGTCCGAGATTAATAATCTCACCAACAAAATATAAAATATTTGTTCTTTCTATTTTTCCTCTTCTCTGTCGTATTGCTTTTATAATTACCCACCCACCGAAAACACACCACTAACCTATAGTTCTGCCCCTAAAAATGCTCCTGTTGCTAATCCTATTGCTTCGATAACCGGATCAACTTATATCGGAAAACCTACATCCGCTGTGGCCCCGCCTACTACTCCATCAATTCCTTCATCAACTTCTCCGTCTAATTTGAATGCTAATGATAATAGTGCATCATCTGCTGCTTCACCACCATCATCATCGCAATCCCCATCTTCACCAAATAAAAATCCATCAAATTCTAAAAATGATCCCTCGCCTTCTGCTAATTCAAATAGTTCAAATCCACCCAAACCACAATCGAAATCACCACTGACATCACAAAACAGTCCAACTTCAGGGACTTCGCCTGGATCCTCCAAACAAACTGATGCACCATCATCTTCATCACCATCAACACCATCAACACCATCAACACCATCATCATCCACCAATAATAACAATAACAACAATAATAACAGCAGCAGCAACAACAACAACAACAATGGTAATAACAATAACACCCCTCCATCTCAGACTCAAAAATCATCAGATTCAACGCCTAGCAGTAACAATAGCAATAATAATGATAGCAACAATAATTCACCGCCATCACCAACAGGAAAGTCAAATGATAAAAATTCGAATCAGGCCTCCACTTCTTACACGGTAATTTCCACAACTTACACCACTGTGATACCTCCTAGCACGATACAAACGACTTCAACCATGCCCAATGGACAACAAACAGTTTTTGAAACTGTACTTCCCGTAAGTTCTTGCAATCGTTACATATGTACATTATTAGTTTCATAATTATTTATTTATATAACCTTTTTTTGTATAGCCTCAAACCAAAACGGTGGTCACTGACGTGACGGGCGTAAAACCAACTTCATCAAATAAGCCCGGCACTCTTCTAACAGATGCTGCAGTAGGCAAATCTCTGCAATATAAAAGTCTTTTCCGGAATCTTCTTGCCATATTCTTTAGTATTCTTATTACATTAACAATATGAGCGCTAAATTCCCGATATAGAAAATTGTAGTTTTTTTTCCGCCTGCTTTTAGTTAGCGTAGAAAAAGAGGGTGATCGTATGCTTTTTGGGACTTGATTTATGTATTAGATTAATGTATTAGATTTATTTTAATTTTCTATGTTCATTTCTATGATTCCGTCTCTAAAATAATTACATTGCGCCAACTATCCTATCATTCGCCAACCCACCCACTTATAAAAAGAAAATTAAATTTACAAAACGTAATTTTGTTCTATTTTAAATCAGCTGTTATGGTTAGTTTTAGGGGGTAATGGAAATACCAAAGTTCTTGATGCGTAGATATTATTCTGTTGCATGATTAATGATGTGGTACTACTGTTTGTCGGTCGCAAAACAGCAATCGGTACTGAGGATCCAGAGGCAGAAGATGCTCTTAACGTAGGTAAATTATTACTAGATGGAATTTCACGTTGTGAACTGGAAATAGATTGAACATCATTGTCAGCATTGATTGTTAAGGATGGAATATCGTTATTTTGTAAAGGTGATGATGAGGCAGATTCTTTGGTATCGTCATTATCATCATTATTGTTTGTGCTATTAGTGTTATCACCATTATTGCTTATATTATTACTGTCGTTATTAGCATCAGATCCTTTGTCCTCATTGATTAAAGTGACAGCGGAAAATCGTGATTTTCTTCCTTCACTTGATGATTCATCAGATTCATCAGATTTAGGAATAACATCAGCTGGCGAATGATCTGAAGATGAAGATGATGAAGATGACGAGGCAGAAGAATGAGATCTTTGTACACTAGGAACTAAGTAATTTGGATCAGTTCCAATTTCTGAAATTGAAGACACATCATCATTATTCTTATTATTCCCCCCACCATCACCATCATCATCATCATCATCATCATCATCATCATCATCATCATCATGGTCATCGTTATGATCGTCATTCTGGTTGCCAGTAATAGTAGCATTGTTTGTTGTTGAGAAATTGACTGGTTTGTTATCGGCTTCTGTCTCGACAATTTCTGTGAATACCGATTGACTTGATGGTGAATTAGATGCTAATCTCTTTAAATATCGAGTCCATTCATCATCATCATCCGCTGCGACTTCAATGCCAAGTTTATTACTTTTTGGTCTTTTTATGTCTTTGCTGTTGATTTTGAAGCTGACACGTCTATCTATCTTGGAATTTTCTTTTGAGTTGTCTAGATTTTTATTTTTCGCCGCAGTTAACTTTTGTCGTTGCTGCTGCTGCTGTTGATTTGAACTAGGAAGAATTAAGAAACCTGATTTTCTTTTATCATCGCGGTTTTCCCATTCACTTTCATCCGAACCATTATCCTCGGATCCTTCTGATTCATCAGTAATAGTAGTTCCGCAGTTACTACAACGATGATTTCCAGCACCTCCGCAAATTATTACTGCCGGGTTTCCACCATTCATAGCGGTTAAATTTTCATTATCGCTCTTTTCATTTTCTAATGAATTAACTTTTTTATTTTTGTTGAAACGACTCCATCGTACGCAACAACAAAGAAATGTCAATAAACAGAAGCCCAAAATTACCAATACGGTAGGAACGATGAATGGTTTGAATGAGCTTATCGCTATGTTTACCGGATCTGGTTCTGCTGTGGTTGATGGCGTTATTGACGTGCTTGCTGATGTGGGCAACACTGACATTGATGGAACTTCACTTCCTGTTGATGGAGTTTCCATGATGATATTCGCCGTTGTTGTCAAATATGGTGTTGGTGTGGGAAATGATGTTTGATTACCAGTTGATGCTCGAGTTGGACTCAGAGGATTTATTGGATTTACTGCATCATCGGTTGAATTGGTGGTGCTTTTGGCTGTTGGTTTACTTGCTGAGATCGAGGGATCTATTTTTCTCTTTTTGATTTGTCTTTTCGTGCCATTGTTTTCAGTGGTTAAAGGTGCCATTAGAATATTTATTTTTCTTCACAAAAGATTATTTGACTAAATGCGAATTTTTAATATTAGGTGATAACTATATGCTAGGTGTAGATATGTATTAAGATATAATAACGACGATATATGTATTAAATATAATAAAGTCCGCTTCAAGCGGTTATGAATTAATTACTAAAGAATGGTTAGATAATTAGGATCGATTTTTCTTTTCACTAAAAACTCATATTTTCAAAATATGTAGTTTTTTTTCTTTTTCTAACTTCTCTCGTGTGTGCGCTTTATTGCATCGAGTTTTGATGTTTTCTTCGTCTTAGTTTTGTTAACGCAAAAAGATAAATTATGAGGTCGACGAACCAACTAATAATAGGGAATAGGAATAAAGCGAGGAAATGAGAGAGAAAGAGAAAAAAAAGGATATTACAATAGCATTGTTATAAAATCAAAATAATAAGTATGTAATGGATAATTATATCAAATTAGGGAAAGGGAATTTCTTGTTTTTCTTATATTTGTCTGTTCATACCCGGATTCGGATCGGGCGAAACACCCACGCGCGTTATTTCTGTTTGATATCAGAGAATGATTGTGTTACGTCTCTCGCTAAACATACATTAAAACGATCAACGATCATTAAATAGCATTTTTTTCTTATGGTGTCACGAAACAAATCTCTGATATTCTTATAATCTTGTTTGGGAATATTAGAGATAGATTTCTTAAATTTGATTCCTTGATCAAAAAATTTGTGTATCTTATATTCAGATCGATTAATTTTATTGGATCCAAGTTCAATTGGACTGGTACCAATTCAATTAATTGAACCTCTTAGACTGGTCCAATTGGGATCTAGATCACAAATGAGATGTGGTAATACAAGAATTATAGTGATGTTCTTTTATTTTTCGAACATGCTTAATTTTCTTTGAAATTTCTAAATACATGTAGCAATTCAATTAACAATAATATACGTACCGAAAATAATAAAATCTTTGCTTCGTTAACTATGTAAGTAATAATACCAAAAATGGGTTATATTAAAAGAATTCATCCACAAACACATAAGCAAGAACACTACATGCGTATTTTGCATATTTTGTCGATCATACTTTTAATGCAACCCTACATAGAATTAGGGGTGCAATCTACATACATAGATTGTTTGTATAATGCTAAAAATATCCACTGAATGCCATCTTTATACATCGTTTTACATTAACTTATAGCTTGACCAATTTTTTGCTTGAACACTCGATTCGCAACACCTCCAATTCCAAAAGCCGGCGCAATTCTCACGATCCTGGCCAATGTGGTTTTTGAATACTTTTGCATAAGAAGATTTGCCCTCGAACCTATCCCAGCATTTTGTCTATTGTACAAGTCCAATCCCAACAAATGAAGTGGCGTACTAACAAACTGTATTAAAGCCGGTGACACAAGTTGTGCCAAATTCATTGCTCGTTCTCGGTCTGCAATCCAACCTTTCTCGTAAAAATTTGATCCCAATACGTCAGGCATATTAAAACTTGCGGCCATTGTTGTTGTGTCACGTGTCGCGAAAAATCCATATGTCGCCTTAGGCAATGGTCTTGGCGCGATGATCCCAAACATTCGGGTGAAATGCATGTCTTTATAAAAGCATGAGGCCATGTTTGCAATAGAGGCACCAAAGAATTTCGGAAGTTGATTGTCTACGTTATGATGATTACTTAACGTATCCACCTTGTTCACTGTTATATAGGTGCTGCTGTAGACCATATAAACTAAATAGAATTGGCGTGAGCAAATAAACTGGTGTGGTTTCTTTAAGCATGATATGATTCCAGCTTTTATTGATGAGCCAAGCGTGTTACGGCCACTAGCATTTTCCATTATTGCTCTAGTGATATATATTAGAAAGATTCAAGAAATTAGCAATTGATTGATTAGTAACAAAATCACCCTCACTTCACTCACCTATCAATAATTGCAATAAATGGCGCGACCAAAAAGCCAGCCGCCGCTCCTGCACATACATCCACGAAGAGTCTTTTCGCAAGTGCTATAATTTTTCGGTCTTTTTTCTCTTGAACGATTAGTTCCAACTCCATTTTATCTGTGTAAAACAGGTATATGTTATATGTAAAAAATCTGTAAAGTAATTGAGTGGCGGAATGTGCGATTTGTTTATCGTAAGCTAACAAAGTATTATGTGTTCTAGAGGGATTTTTACAATTGCGGTTTTTTAAAATTAAAACTCTTAAAAAAAAATACACGTACGAGTCAAATTTATTAATTTCCACGCGAAGGACAAAACTTATCACATTTGATTATCTCGAGATGTTGTTGCAGGTGCTGCATGAACAGGTTATTCGAGATAAGATAATCATTTTTATTTTTATTGCATACAATAATAATACAATATGTTATCGTTATCGAGGGTTTCTTTGTTCTTCATTTAATGATGTTAATTCCTGACGGCTAAGAATTCTTTTACAATGCTTTAGTTTAATTATACTCCCTTGATTTTTACGTCAGAGGTGTGTAGTTATTATTGCGTTATTATTGCAATTCTGAATACATTTTTTATCAAACTCGAAAATTAGAGATTTTGAATTCGTTACTCGGTGTCTGCATCAAATTTTTTTTTTAAATTTGGTCAGCTGCGTTATTCAGGTGCAGGATTTGTCATGGGTAAATCAGATAACGGATGAAACCGGGTCAGCATAAATGTTATCTTTCATATGCGATAGGTACGCAACCTAAATTCACGAAATTTTTCTCGATAACATTTTTTTAGAAAGAAACTGAACGGGTATGCGTCTCATGCTTTATCTTTGGAGTACTGAATTCGAACGTGTATTTATCAGGGATTACTGTGTTCACGCTCTCTGACGTATTTCTCTTATTGACACAAATATCATGAGTAACTATTAACCAAGTGAATTTTCACCTGCAAATTTTGGTCTATGCCAGCGTCTAAAATTCAAATTTAGTTGCGGAATCCGCAAAGTTGATAAATTTAGTTGCGGAATCCGCAAAGTTGATAAATTTTAGTTGCGCATGATAATCAAAATGTGAAATTCTAAAATTTACATGCGGAATTCGCATATGCATATTAGATTTATGGTTGCGGAAATTTAAAATAGTTTGCGATCTGCAAACTCCGCAGGTCACTGACCTAAGGGTATGTATTTTAGCATTAAAAAAAGGATTCAGAGCAAACAAAAACTGAGTTATAATTAAAAATAATTAAGTATTAAACTAAATATAAATTACTAAAGATAAATAATAATTATATTTATAATGTGATATAACTCATAAAATCATAATAATAAATATAAAGATTATAAAATTATAAAATATAATAATTATAAAGATCATATAATTATATTTGCAAGAGATCAAAATTTAAAAATAAACAAAAAATAAAAAATATTTTTTAAAGAGAATAATATTTTTTATTAATTAATAAATAATTCTATTATTATATGAACTAGTATAACAAATTTAAAATCTTTTAAATATTATATTATACATATATATTATTTCAAGAGATTTTATTATTTTATCTTAATAATTAAAATTATATATAATTTAATTATATTTAAGAAAAAAGTTAAATATTTAATTATTTAAGAAATAAGAATAATAAAATTATTAATAAAAAATATATTTTTTATCTTTTCTATTTAAGTAAAAAGTTAAATATTAATTATTTAATAAATAAAAATAATAAATTTATTAATAAAAATATATTTTTTATCTTTTTTATTTAAGAAAAAATCTATTACTTATATAAAAATAACTTATTTCAAGTTAAAAAAGATATTTTTATTTAAAATTATAATATATTTTATTATTATATATTTAAATTTTATAAAATAAGATCTTTTATAATAATAATTAAAAATAATATATCAAAAACTAAATTTATTAATAAAATATAATAAAAATCAAAATTTTTTTATATTAAAATTTATAATTTTATTAAGAAATAATATTTATTTTATATTAAAATAAAGTTTATTAATTATAATTTAATATATATTTTTTTTAGATTTTTTAGATTTTTTCTAAAAGA